TCAGAACTGGCGGTCAGTTTCAGCAGCGGCTGAATCTGGACGCCAGTTCCGACTTACATACAGATTCAACTTAAGAACAAACCTACAGTCCCTATCTTGTACGTAACCCGGGGACTGCCTGTAGTTAAAAATCGAAAGAGTATAATATGGACAGGACTGTAGTGTCATGGAAACTAAATCTATTTACCTATAATATCAGACAGAGCAGGACTCCCATTTCCAGATGAAGCTGAATCTGGACGCCAGTTCCGACTTACATACAGATTCAACTTAAGAACAAACCTACAGTCCCTATCTTGTACGTAACCCGGGGACTGCCTGTAGTTAAAAATCGAAAGAGTATAATATGGACAGGACTGTAGTGTCATGGAAACTAAATCTATTTACCTATAATATCAGACAGAGCAGGACTCCCATTTCCAGATGAAGACTGGGAAGGAAGTGGTAATTTCTATGTCCTATTTACGTTAGTTCCCATCACACTCCAGAATAGACACACATCCTTCTCAATCAGCAGCTGTTTAACAAGCTGTGCCAACAACAGGAGATAGTTTTGTTACAAATGCAGAAGAGTTGGTGGTGCCCTACTCAAGTGAACTGTCTCTAACTAGGTCTAGCAAAGTCATGCTCTGGCCACACTGGCTCTTACAGTTTGCCAATAATAGTTTTAGAAAGTTTCCTTGACACTGGAAAATGAATGCAGAAAGGGTGAAAGGATCTGCACCCTCCCCAATTTGTCACATGTGGGGTGTGGAGCTTTTAAAAAGCTTTGATGTACTGGCACTCCATGTAATATTCTAAGTTATCCTGCTTTCCATAAAGGTGTATAATGCTGTTGGTGATAACATCATTTCCTGAAGTGCTTGACTCCTAGGTAACTATTACAGATCTCCATGCTCTGATCACTTCAGCAAGCAAGATTTTGGGGAAGCGAGAGTCTAGAGACCATGCAATATCAAGACTAAAACCTTTTCAACTATCATTTAACATTTGTTCTAAAGTTTTAAAATTTATATGAATTTGTCCCAAAGAGGGATTACTCAGAGACCTATGTATGTTTTCTGACTAATGCAGTATTTCTTATTTCTAATTATCGGAAGACACTGCATTAAACAGAAAGAATTTACAAACCTAAACACTAGTTTGAGAGCCATATATTAGCTCGTAAGAACAGAAATCAGCCACATTCTTTGATATTGTTCTATTACATCTGACACTTATGAATTTTCAAGTGCTCTGTACTCTGCTCACTTTAATTCATCATTTTGGGTATGTCTAGACTACATGGCTCCATTAATGGAGCCATGTAAACTAGTTTACCCGGCATAGGCAAAGAAGCAGGGATTTAAATAATCCCCGCTTCATTAAAATACACATGGCCACCATGCTGTGCCAATGATCAACTGATCCGGCACAGCACAGCAGCCTAGGCGCGGATCAGTTGTCTAGGGAAGCCTTTGTCGACCAATCCTGTAAGCATAAGAGATCGGTCGGCAAAGGCTTCCCCAGCCGACTGATCTGTGTCTAGACTGCCGCGCTGTGCCGGATCAGCTGATCGTCGGCACAGCCCGGCGGCCCCATGTGTATTTTAATGAAGCGGGGATTATTTAAATCCCTGCTTCTTTGCCTATGCCGGGTAAACTAGTTTACATGACTCCGTCGACAGAGCCATGTAGTCTAGACATACCCTTTATTACTTAATTTGCAAAAATACTACTCTGCAATCCATTTGAAGGCATTAGAAAAAAAGAGTCCTTGACTAAATCTAGCAAAACACTAAAATGAACAACTATCTTGAGATTCTTAATCATCATGATGCATGGCTTGCAAGTCCCATGAACAGAGATCAATACACATTTAGCGAGAATATGGATTGTAATGGGAGTCTAAAAAAATTGGCAGTCACATTTGTAGTGTCACAAACTGATGTATTCTTTCAAATTTCTCCAAAAAGCAAGTTTAGAAAAAAAAGTAACTAATTTAAAGACACCAGTGAGGCAATATCTGTGAATGGACCATCTTCTGCTGGTGAAACAAGCTTTTGAGCTCCCACAAAGCTCTTCTTCAGAACACTAGAAGTTATTTACACAAAGGCCATAAGGAAACAAAATGACAGACTAACCAGAGTCTTCCCACAAAGGAAGTTAATGTTGCTTTGTCTAAAATGCTGAGCGCCTTGCTGTGAACACTGATGCGTAGTGTTGAACTCAAGAAGTGATTTAGAAATTCTCTTTGAAGAGGAGTCACCTAAATGAAAAGATAAGGGCTGCAATAATACAGTATATTAAAAACCCCAACTATTTCATACCCATCACAAATGTCCTATGTTGTTAAGCTTAACTACCGTGCAAGACAACATGCAAATGCATTTAAAGGCAACTTTAAAACAAAGACTAGATTAAATCTTTAAGACACACCCAGGGTAAAATTTTTCATAAATGCTTAGGTGACTTACCAATTTGAATCTCATTTTCAAGAGTGCCTCAACCACTTTTCAAAGTTTTACCCTCATGCTTTTCAGACTGGAATTCACTCTGTTTTTCCAGCTGAAGCAATATTTAGTAGCAGTTACTAACACAATACTGCTGCAGTGTATTTAGTCTGTTTAAAGGCAATACACATTTTGATTAGGAGTGTTCTTTCGTTTTACAGCTTCTACCTTTAGGCTAAGAATTGTACTAAACAGCTAGTCAGTGCTAAATCATCCTATTAGTTTATCATCCTATTTAATCACCCATCCTCCCTCCCTCTCTACTGCTGTCCCCTTGTTTGCCTTTTAGGCAGTAGGCTCTTTGGGAAAGATTTTCCTGGGGATGGGCTCATTGGTTAGTCCTATCAACTATATGCACTCTCCCCCACACTGCCTCTGATGGAAAGGCAGCGGGGAGGAGGGGGCACGAAGGTGAGAACTGCCTGCCCTCTCTCCATTGCTGCCTCTGACAGAGGCAGCAGCAAACAGGATGAGGGGGAAGGCAGGAGCTGCAAATTGCATCTGTGTTTTGTCCATGTTTCTAATATAACCGCTTTTTCACTATGCGGTTGCACCCCACTTCCAAATCGTTAATTATAGTTAGATCTGACCCAACATAGATCCATACTATACCCCACTAGATAACTGTTCGCTAACTGTCTATACAGTTGTTAGTCATCACTCAACTATCTTGGCGCCAATTTTCAATATTCATTAAATTTGAGAATAAAATCTTACACTAAAATCCATTTCTAATACATCAACTGCACATCTTCCTGCTTCCTCCTCCATCCCCCCAACTAACTTTGTACAACTAGTAAAAGAAAGTCAAGCTGACAGAGTTCTATGCTGCCTTGGCATTTCAAAGGGGCAGCACCACAAGGTTGAGCCCAGGATCAGCTGTGTGGCAGCTGCTCCTTTGATATGCCACCTTGGCATTTCAAAAGGGCAGTGCAGTGGAGCCCAGGATTAGCTGGGGACTCCCCAGCTGACCCTGGGTTGTGGGGAAAGGCCACTGGGGAAATCAGTCCCAACTGATCCCGGGTTCTGGGGAAATATTGTTTGGAGCCTGGGATCAGCTGGGGAGTCCCCTGCTGACCCCAGCCTCCATGGCTTTGAAATACACAGAAGCCCTGCTTGGGACTCTTGTACATTTCAAAGCTGGTACCCAAGTGCAGCCTGGAGTCAGTGGGACTTCCTGCTGGCGCCAGGCTGCATGCAGAGATCCACATTCCTCCTCTGAAATGTACAGGAGTCCCCACTGGGGCTCTTGTACATTTCAGAGGAGGAATGTGGAAGTGCCTATTGACTAGTTGAGTAGTTGATAGAAATTCCATTGACTAGTCAATTAACCGCAATTCAACATCCTTAGCAGGAACACCAGGTACTACAATTTGAGACAGTGCCAGCTGCCAGTGCGCTGTCCTACAAGAAATGCCAATGCTAGCAGGTTCACAAACTGTGTTTTCGTCCAGCCCTGCAGATAGGGTTGAAAGGTGGAACTTTTGACGCCGATACCAGCAAGCTCTATCTTAGTGAGCTGTACAGCCAGCCCAAAACTCTGAGAAGGTTGTTTACAAACAATGTTCCTGCTCAGGTGCGCACCTGCGCATAAAAACTCTCCCCGCCCTCCTCCTCTGCAGAGCCACGTGGTAGGCAGCTGCTCCAGCAGGTGGGGGCAGCTGAGAAAGTGAGATGAGGTGAGGGAGCCACTGGGGTAGGGGGGGCCAGGACCTGCTGAGGCTGTGGGGGAGGAAGAGGCCTGCTCTGGTGCCCAGGGATGCCATGGAGGGGAGGTCTGCTCTGGCAGCCAGGAACATTTGTTAACTTGGGTGTCACAGTGGCACCTATCCAAACCAGCAGATGTGCACCAATATGAGGTCATAAGCTAAAACTCACCCCGCTCATGGTTGGAAAAAAAAAAATCTTAGGGTATGTCTACACTACCACCCTAGTTCGAACTAAGGTGGTAATGTAGGCAACTGGAGTTGCAAATGAAGCCCAGGATTTGAATTTCCCGGGCTTCATTTGCATAAAGCCGGGCGCCGCCATTTTTAAATGTCCGTTAGTGCGGACTCCGTGCCGCACGGCTACACGCGGCACGGACTAGGTAGTTTGGACTAGGTTTCCTAGTCCGAACTACCTTTATTCCTTGTGAAGCCTAGTGCAAACTATCTAGTCCACGAGGCGTACAGCTAGTTCGGATAGGAAGCCTAATCCGAACTAGCTAGTCCGTGCCGCGTGTAGCCGCGCGGCACGGGGTCCGACCTAGCCGGCATTTAAAAATGGTGCTGGCCGGCTTCATGCAAATGAAGCCCAGGAAATCTAGTCCGTGCCGCGTGTAGCCGCGCGGCACGGAGTCTGCACTAACGGACATTTAAAAATGGCGGCGCCCGGCTTTATGCAAATGAAGCCCGGGAAATTCAAATCCCGGGTTTCATTTGCAACTCCGGTTGCCTACATTACCACCCTAGTTCGAACTAGGGTGGTAGTGTAGACATACCCTTAGAGGGAACACTGGTTACAAACCGTAAGGGTGGAAATGAATGCATGTGAATCAGAATGGAAACTTACCAGCTAACACATTACATTCACCCTATTCTGACGCTTCTCTTTTCCTTAATGATATTACACTTCAGGTCACCTGGTATGGTAATTTAGCTTCAGGAGACACATTTTAGAACATCAGTGACCTAACAGCTGTTCAGAGCACCTGCATACTATGGGGAGGTGCAATGTACAGGAGCATTCCCTTAATTACAATAAGCATATGTAACTCTCTGGAGGGCCGGTTACAAGACACAGTCAACAATGGCATGAGGGCAAAGAAAACATAAAAGAACAGGCTACACAGAGGCTGAATGGTATGAGCATCACTCCAGTTCAGAAGTAAATCTGCTTTTACACCCATGTCTATTACTACTTCTAGTTTCCTCAGCTAGCATATTGCCTATACACTCTTAATTCCCACAAAGAATGCCAACACCAAATGAGTCAGTATGTGTTACACAAGAAGCCAGGCAAGGCAACACCCTCTTTTATCAAAACTATCTATAGGTTTTGTTTAAGACATGCCATTTCTACACAATTTTGCAACGCTGTAAATGGGCTGTGGAGTGTATGAAGACTTGGTCAACTTCTGTTTGAGAATGCTCAGTTTTCTTCACAATAAACATTTTTATCCAGGGCTTGGAAAAACTCACACATGTGCAGTAAGAAGTGTTCCTGGCTGAATGCCAGTAATGGCAGCACTCCATTTCTAAGGGTCTACCTCCGCCCCCAGCTGTTACATGCTATCACACACAATCATGCAAAGCATCAGGAAGCAAGAACAGCAATTTTCTCACACACACACACACACACACACACACACACACACACACACACACACAAACTACAAGATAGGTCGGGCAGCATACAAGTTACAAACATTCTACCCCTCATTGAGAAGAGAACGCTCTCAAGGCAGACAGCAATGTACGCATCTCCTCATATCTCCAGACACACAACTGTTGTCCATGCTGCAACAGAACACCCAAGTCAGAATCTTGCCAGGTTTTGTTGCTATGTCAAACTAAAAACAGCAGCAACATGACAATTAGGTCTGTTACATTCTGCTGTAGCCTGGAAAAGCTCTGGACAGGCTTTGGAGAGATGGGTTTTGAAGGCCCCAAAAGAGAGGACCAAAAAAAGTGTTCTATTGTAGCACAGAAGCCAGCCTTTTTGCTGCTGCCAAGAATTTCTAAAATGAGCAACAAAAGTTAGGCAATATGTTCCTCTAGCAGCAAGGCATGGGGGTGTGATCTTAAAGTTTATCACCTTCAAGTTCCAGAGACAGCATGTTGGCAAGAAGCCAGCAATCTGCACACTTGGCTTTTTCCCTAGCTATTGCCAAAAACAGTGGCCTACAACCTAAGTTCGGTCCTCCTGTTAGGTGTCTGGCAAAGTTTAAGACTCTTTACAATGGGAGTGGATGCATATAGATGGGGTTCAGGGCTAAGTCCCAAGGTGTATGCCTCTGCAGGCAAGCAACAAGAATTTGAGTCCCAACCACCTCCTCAGCACAGTCGCGCAGTGGTTGCTCAGCAGCTCTGGGGGTGGAGCTGCACGGCAGGCAGTGGCCCTCACCCCAGGAGCAGTCGGGTAGCCACCACACAGTCCTGGCCTTAACTTCAACCCTTCCCCAGGGCTAGAGCTGCAGCCAGGGCAGGTAGCATGGTGACTGCCAGAGCTGGGGATAGGGCTAAAAATAGTACTGCGAGCCCAGACCTAGGAGCAGCTGCATCACGGCCTGGGTTCCAGCCCCAGCACATGGGACAGATGCCCACCACATCTCCATCCTGGGAGCAGCTGGGGCCAGGGCCACATGGTGGCTGCCTGGCAGCTCCAGGGCAGGGCTGTATGGTGGGCAGCTGCCCAGCGTGCCAGAGTTGGAGCCAGGGCTGTGGTGTGGCTGCTCCTGGGACAGCCGCACCATGATCCCAAGCCCAAGAGCCGCCACACCGTGGCTCCAACTCCAGGAGCAGCCAGGCGGCCTTGGCCATAGCTCCAGCCCTAGGGAAGGGCTAAAACTGGGGTCCTATGCACTAAAAACTTAGAAGAGTTCTAGAACTTTAGAAGATTTACTTAAAGAAAAAAAAAAGGATTTTGGCTCATTTTTTGCTATTAAATCACCTTACAAGAAGATGCATTTTAGTGCTAAGCACATAGTTTGAAAGAGGACAGACTTACATAAAACCTTGACCATCAAGCGGTACACTTTCTGATTCTGTAGTAA